GTCACAAACTGAATTGGACAAGAACCAAATCAAATTTCTCCATAAGGTCAACGTTGAACCTAACCATTGAATTTGATTCAGTTCTCCTCCATTTTTGCAAGGATCCAGAATGTACTTTAATGTCAAATTGAAAATTTAAAATAGTAAATATAATACCACAATTATTAAAAATACATGTCCCATGCCTGTAATCCAAGCACTCCGAAGGCTGAGGCAGGAGAATCACTGTTCCAAATCAGCCTGGGCTACATAGTGAGTTCCAGGTCAGTCTCAACTACATAGTGAGACCCTGTCTCAAAAAAAAAAAAAAAAAACAAAAACAGAATAGTATATAGTTTATATTAGGCAAAGTTTAAAGTCAAACTCCTTCAAAATACATTTAAAATTTTTTTGTTTTCGTTTTTTGAGGCAGGGTCTTGCTTTGTAGTTCATACTGGCCCTGATCTCACTATGTAGTCCAGGCTGGTCTCAAACTCATGGTGATCCTCCTGCCTCAGCTTACAGAGTGATGGGATTACAGGCATGCAGCACTGTGCCCAGCTTAAAATTTTTTTTAATTTCTAAAGGTTATCTTTCTTTGTTGTGGTGCTTGATGGAAATCAGGGCCTCACTCATGCTACGTAAGTGCTTTATTATTGAGACACATCCTTGGCCCTAAAGGTTCTTTTAAAAGCCTACTACTATCTTTAGAGCCAGGCATAGTGGTACTGCAAGCCCAGCACTGTGGAGGCTGAGACAGGAGGATTTCTATGAGTTTTAGGCCAGCCTGGGCTGTGTGGTGAGTTTAAGCCCAGCCTGAACTACAAAGTGTGACTCTGTCTCAAAAAAAATAAAAAAAAGTCTGTTATCTTCATAACTATATACGTATTAAAATTTAATTTCAAGTTACCTGTGTGCAATAGGAAAACAAAAAACCCTACTGATCTTTATTTCTACAACATGCAGTTAAAAAAGTAAAAAAAAAGTTTTAAGTAGTAGGTATTTCCAAAATCCAAGAACAGTGTTGCAGTTCAACTAATTTTCTGTAAAACAAAAAAAGGAACAGTACTATTCCTTGTAATTTTTATAAGCTTTTTCCACCTCAGCCCTGGGAATAGAACCCAGGGCCTCATGCATGCTAGGCAAGGGCTCTACAACTGAACTATACCCCTGGCTATTCCTTGTAATTTTTTCCCTTTTAATTATTATACTCATTAAAGAAAAATGGGCAAAGATTTGGACACAGCTGGGGAGTTAGGTCAGTGGCACTCTGCCTGCCTCTCAAGCGCAAGTTCAATCCCTTGAAGGGGGGCTTTGGACACATCCCAGATGATATACAAATGTCCAATAAACACTTAAAATCTTGTTATAATTTGCAGTTCTTTGTTTGCAATTAAGCATTTTTGTGTATCTTTAATCACTTTTTTGTGATTTATGTCTCTTGTCCTTTTGTGTTTTATGGCATTCTTACCACTTCTTAGTATTTTAAGTTTATTTCTGATTATACAAGTAATACATATTGTCTTGAAAATGTTATAATTAACAGTACCAGCTGATGTTTCCCCTTAATAATCACATAACCACCACCATCTTCCCTTGGTGCTGGGGACTTACTCCCATGACCTAGTGCCTGCTACGTACACACACCCTTACTATCGGTTTGGTACATGGCCCTCTAACTTTATGTGTCTTTGTCATGTCTGTGTGGAACATTTCCATGTGTATATACAATAAAAATGACTCATACTTTAGTTCTATAGGGATTATTTTGGGGTTTTTTTTGTTTTGTTTCTGTTTTTTTTTACCATAACAAGCTTTTATTATAGGGAGGATCTGTCGGGCTGTCTCCGAACAAAGGAGAGAGAAGCAGCATGGAAGAACAGGGAACTTTTATAGGAGCGGGTAGGGTCAGCCTGAGCTGGGGTGGAGTTGAGTATTAAGGGATTGGAGGAGTCTGTGACATCACTAGGAGTGGGGGAATTACTTTGTGTAATTGCTGCATAGTATGCATTCTCATAGTTTATTTAACTTTTCCGTTGTGGAAGCGTATGTGAGTTATTCTTGGCTGTTCGCAGTTAGGATCAACACTTCAGACAACCTGCTCTTCCCTGTGAAAGTCTTCATTGAGTACCTGTTAAGGAGTAAGATTTCCAGGTCACAGGAAGTGAATATACTTTTCTTTTAATGATCATTGCCCAGTTGCCCTCTACGTAAGTCCTTCCAATTTAAACCTCTGCCCACTGTATATAAGAGTATCTGTTCTCTTCACCCTTATCAATAACAGGTGTTATCAAGCTCCTAAGCTTTTTTCCTGTTTCATAAATGATTTCAGTTAGCATTTATCTGATTACTGGTGACGTTGAGAATTTTTCCATGTTTTGGCTGTTACGTCTTTCCACTCTTAGTGTGTGTTCATTTGCGATAGGGCTTCACTGTGTAGTTGAGGCTGACCGCAAACTGAAAGCAATCCTCCTGCCTCTGCCTCCCAAGTGCTGGGATTTCAGATGTGCATTTCCACACTTGGCTATCTTTCCACTCCTTTAAATTCATAGTAAGTCTTGCTTCTGTTGTCTTTGTTTATATATTTGTGTAATTTTCTCCATACGTGAATTTTCTATAAGTAAAATTTATTTCTTGGCCTTTTTTCTCTTAGGGTCTTACTAAGTTTCCCAGTCTGAACTCGAATTTGTAATCTTTCTGCCTTAGCCTCTCACAGTACTGGGATTCCAGACGTGTGCCACCACATTGGCTTCTAAGCCTTTTTTTTGAGACAGTTTCACTATGTAATTCAGGCTGGCCTTGAACTGTGTAGCTCAGGACAGCACAACAATCCTCCTGCCTCAGCTTCCCGAGTGTTAAGATTAGAGGCATGCACCATCACATCTGGCCCATCTATGCCACTTTTGTTGTATATTTTTCCTTCCTCCCCCACACTTGTTCCTTCTTTTTCTGTCATATTGGGCTTTTTTTTTTCCTTCAAATGTTTGGTACATTCACCACTGGATTATTCTGGGCCTAAAATTTTCTTTCATTGGAAGATACTTAACTGTACTTTCAGTTTCTTTTAGTAGTTTATAGAACTATTCATATTTTTGTCTTTTTTGTTGTTGTTGTTCTGGGGATCGAACTCAGGGCCTTGCACTTGTGAGGCAGGCAGTGGCACCACTGAGCTAAATCCCTGGCCCATTTTCCTATTTATTATTGTGCTGAAGTTCTGTTTTTCTAGGAAACTGTCCATTAATTGATCTAAAATTTCAAATTTGCTAATAAAAAGTAGTGATATCCTTTTAATATCTTTTTAATGTTGTATTTATAGTATAATATTGGTGATCTTTCTCTTTATTTTTTATTACTCATGCCATAGATACAAGTTTTATTAATCTTCTCAAAGAACCGTGTATTAGCTTTCCCATCCCTGGAACAAAGTACCTTCCACTCACATCTTAAAGGAGGAAAAGTTTAGTTGGATTCACAAGTTTTGGGGTTCAGTCTATGGGAAGGTGGCTCCAAGGCAGGGATGGTTTGGTGGAAGGACATGGAGGAAGACAGCTGCTCAAATTATGGCTGCCAGGAAACAGAGAGAGAAGGGCGGAGCTGGGCCCCAGAATCCACACTTCCACATGAAACCCCCAATGACCCTCCTCTTCCTGCCAGGCTCCCCCTTCTAACAGCATGTTCAGCTGTGAACTTATCCCTGGGTAATCCACTCGTAAACATAGTGCCACCATGACCTTTCAAAATCCTATCTCTGAACACATAAAACTTGGGGAGTCATTCTACATCTAAGTCATAACCAAGCTTTGTTATCCTTGTGAACATTGATTTCACTGCATCCTTAAAGAATATTTTCATACAGGTGTCCTGGCTTGGTAGTTACTTTCTTTCCGCTCTTCGCAGACAGAGTTCCATTGCTTTTTTTGTTTTGTTTTGTTTTTTTCTTTTTTGTGGGGGGGATACTGGGTTCTTGTGCTTCCGAGGTAGGCGGCAGAACTACTGAGCTAAATCCCTGTCCCAGCATTCCATTGCTTTGAAGCTTCCATTTTTTTCCTTTCACTCATCTGTCTTTGAAAGCACTTGTTTTTTCTGTGGATAGAGTTAACCTTTTCTCTGTGTCTGTTTTACTATATACATCATCAGCAGTTATCTAACAGGGTTATTTTTGTTTATGTGAAGAAGACTGTTACTGTCTGCTCCCAGATGTTGAAAATAAATTCATGTGGGGATTTTTTTAATTTAATCACTTTTTTTTTTCAAGTACTGGGGAATCCAGCTCAGGACCTTGGGTTTGCAAGGCAGAGGCAGTGCCACTGAGCTAAATCCTCACACACACACACACACACACACACACACACACACACACACAGAGGGAGAGAGAGAGAGAGAGAGAGAGAGAGGAGATATTTCTGTGTTGTATCTCAAAAGTATACTGACCCCACCATGAGGACCCCATGCTCATGGTGTCATCTAACTCTAATTATCTCCCAAAGGCCCAATCTCCAAATACCATCAGACTGGGGTTTAGTACTTTAGTGTCAGTCTATTCTGAGCTAAATCCTCACACACACACACACACACACACACACACACACACACACACACAGAGGGAGAGAGAGAGAGAGATAGAGAGAGAGAGGAGTTATCCCTGACCCCTGTAAATTCTTGACATAGTCCCACCACTGCCCCCAAGGTTCGAACTGAGGCCCCTGTTAATTCTTATACCAAATAGTAGAGTCTCTTTCCAGAGCAGCTCTTTGCTGCCTATAGAGGCTCTATCTAAAAGGAGTATGCAGGGTCCAGGGCTTTAGCTCAATGGTTCCATAGCCTGCCTTGCAAGCACAAGGTTCTGAGTTCGATCCCCAGTACCAAAAAAGAAAGAAAGTTATGGGCCAGGGATTTAGCTCATTGGTTCTGCTGCCTGCCTCGCAAGTGCAAGGTTCCACATTCAATCCCAGGTACCTAAATAAATAAATAGAATATGCTTTTCCTTTTCATTTAATTTCTGTTTCTCACCGATCTTCTAGGGCAGCATCCATGTTTTTCATGTAAGGTGCCTGGTAAAGATGTGAAGCGTTGTTCTGTTGGTGCTTGTGGGAAGTTTTATCATGAAGCCTGTGTCCGCAAATTCTCCACTGCCATCTTTGAATCAAAAGGATTCCGCTGTCCCCAGCACTGCTGCTCTGCCTGCTCCGTGGAGAAAGATATCTACAAAGCAAGTAAAGGTAACACAGCTAAAGGAAGGTGCAGTGATCTTTTGCTTAAAGTACAGTGGCAAATAATATATTAAGTACATTATTGTAAACAACTTTGAATAGCTCTTATTTCTCTAGGTTTAAAAGTTCAGATTCAATAGATACCATGTTAAGTAGGAAAAAAATTCCATATGAGAAGAAAATTCCTTAGGCAGGTACCATATTAGGAATATCATTCTCTCTCCAGCACTGAAACAAGCTTTTCTTTACACAAGCTCTAATTTTTTTTTTTCCTTTTTTTTTGAGACAGGGTGTCAGTATGTAGTTCAGGCCAGCCTTGAACTAACTCAATATTTAGTTCTGGCTAGCCTCAAACTCAGAGCAGTCCTCCTGCCTCAGGCTTTTGAGTGCTGGGATTATGAGCATGTGTCACCACACTTTGCCCTCTAAATAATTTTTAGGCTTGTATTTAGGAACCGTATAGTATAGGAGTAACAGAGCCAGCCTAGTGAAGAAAGAAGTGTTTGATTGCTATAACTAGTGTCACAGAGCAACCAAGAAAAGCCCAACTCCAGAAGTCTCATATCCAGCTGATGCCTTATTGTGCAAATGTCTTTTTGTCTCTAAACAGGACGCATGATGAGATGTTTGAGGTGTCCGGTTGCCTATCACTCTGCAGATGCTTGTATTGCTGCAGGAAGCTTATTCGTGTCCTCCTACATTCTCATCTGTAGTGACCATTCTAAGCGGAGCAGTAATTCTTCTTCGGCTGTAAATGTAGGCTTTTGTTTCGTTTGTGCCAGAGGTGAGTGTCCTTTCTCATTATTTCTCTTTTCAGTTCTTTGGCAGATTTCTCTATTAATATGAGCTTTAGCATTAGGAGAGAACCCAAGCTTTCTATTACAATCTTCCATCCAGTGCTGAATTCCTTTTTATTATACTCCTGATAGAAAGCACCACTTATAGCAGCTAGTAGCTTTTATGCTAGACCTCCAGATTGTTACAGTATTAGTTCTTCCATTAGCTAGGCTAAAAGCTGCATTGAAAAATATGACTTAGAATTACAGATAAATGCATTTTCTATTTGACTAATTTTATATTAAAAGTTTAATCTATTTCCTTTTACAAAGTTTTTCTGTTTGAAGTAGATCCTTCTATTGTCATCATTAATTCAAAACTTTCAGCTGATTGAGATTTCACTTGGAAGGCTAGACTAGCACATTTGTTTTTTGATTGTTTATGTTGTATTTCATAATGTTTTGCTCTGGCATTGAAAAGGCCTGATAGGACATAGCCAAGGCAACATATGTGGTGGTTTAATGAAAAGCTGGCAGTGCAGGCTTCTTATTTGCCAGTAGTTGATACTTAAGTCCGCCATGACATTGATCATCCGAGAACAGTACCAAGCCCTGAGGGTAGTCAGTGAAGCTGAGCGTGTGGTACACGTAAAATAGGGCATCTTCAGCTGGCTGTGGTGCACTGTCCAGCTTTACATAGATTGTATGATAATGACACTTTTTGTAATTAGTAAGCATCATAGAGGCTAGTTAATATCCCCAAATAATACTGGGTTGTTTTATTTGTTTTTGTTTTTAATATAAGTGCTTAGTTTCCCGAACTTACTTTGGTGTAAAGTATTTGAAAAGCTTTATGGCATAACCACACTTTTTTTTTTTTTTTTTTTTTTTTTTTTTTTGGTACCGGCGATTGAACTCGGGTCCTTGCACTTACTTGCAAGGCAGGCCACCGAACCACTGAGCTAAATCCCCGGCCCCACACTTGTTGTATTATAGACCATACTTAAAATGCAGGATTTGTTTTCTTGGCTTTTTTTTCCTTGTTTGTTTTTTGCTTTGGGAGACAGGTAATTTGGCAAAAGTACTATAAAAATGTTTTTAGAGTTGAGATAGCATGACAGATCTTAGGTTGTTTTAGCTTTTGTATTCCTCATTTTTTTATCAAATTGCTTAGAGGAGGTAGGCAGTAGAAGATTAAATAAATGGCGGTCCTCTGCATAATAGCCAGCTGGGCAAGTGGCAGCTACTGAAGTGGGCAGCTGTTTTTCTCTGCTAGAGCAGTTACCACTGGGTACTGATCTGAGGCCTGGCTGGTGGATGGAGGATTGTGCCACATTGTTACAGGTAACGAAATTCAAATAGACAAATAATAATAAATAGAAAGCTATCACTAGTGCCTTTCCATCTTACCTTCCTAAGGAAAGTAATGATAGGAAGGAATCAGTGAATTAACACTTGAATGCCTAGCTCTAAAACCTTTAGACACACAAGTGGCAGTGATAACATAAAGCTTCTTACCATTTTGGAAGCTCTATTCTTCCATTCCTAGGCACTTCTGCTGGCATAAGTACAAATAACCTAGCCAACATTTTTGTTTTGTTTTGACTTTTTAAAAATAATTTAGCAGGGCCAGGGATTTAGCTCAGTGGTTCTGCACCTGCCTCACAAGTGCAAGGTCCCAAGTTCGATCCCTAGTACCATAAAAAGAAAAGAATTTAGCAAACATTTTTAACATTAAGTTTATAACTACTATGTTGGCTTATTTTGGGGGATATATTCTAAATTCAATGCCACCAGTATATTAACCAGTATTTCATTCAATATTGGGAACTTTTAAAAGCAAGTATTTCAATTTAAGAGTAGATAGGAAATGGTTCACTAACAGAAACTCTGGTCATTTTGTTAAATTTAACTTATATCCCTTGATTAAAAGCTTGGGGGCCAGGGATTTAGCTCAGTGACATGGTACCTGCCTTACAAGTGCAAGGTCCTGAGTTCGATCTCCAGTACCAAAAAAAAAAAAAGCTTGGGAAAAATATAAATGAGGAAACCCCATGTTTTAAATCATAATCTGTATTTACATCTTATCAATTTGACAAATATTTTGAAAGATTTACTGGATTTAAAGGGCTATTTGAGGAAGTTTATTTAATTCACAAATATTTTAACCATGAAATTTCCTGAAATAAACAAACTTTTATTTTCCTTTCTAGCATTTGGTAGAAATTTATTCTAAAATGTATCAGAAAGGGCCAGGGATTTAGCTCAGTGGCTCTGCCACCTGCCTTGCTAACGCAAGGACCTAAGTTTGATTCCCGGTACCAAAAAAATAATAATAATAAAATAAAATAGAATTTATCAGATGTTGGGATTTTAAAAGGTTTAAATTAAGTCTTTTGAAAGTAAATAATGTGTATCTTTCTATAGATATTAAGATAGCCTTTATGTATGGAGGAGGGTGATACTGAGGATTGAACCTAGGCAGTGCTGAGCAACATCTTCAGCCCTTTTTTATTTATTTGTTTGTTTGTTTGTAAATAAGACAGGATCTCACTGTGCACAGGCTGAAAGACCTCATGCTAATCCATATACAAAAAGAAATCTAATTATTTGTTTTTGAATTAGAAAACTTGGCTTTGGGCCAGGGATTTAGCTCAGTGGTTCCAGCACCTGCCTCGCAAGCACAAAGACCTGAATTCGATCCCTGGTACCAAAAAGAAAGAAAAAGAAAACTTGGCTTATTTTGCTTGTTCTTTCCTCATACAAGATTTTTTTCTTCCTCATAAATGACTTTTCTTAGTTCTTGGTTATTTGGTGTTTAAAGTCATTAAGCTACTTCTTAAAGATCAAAACATCTAGAAACAGTTTTAGTTTTTAAAGTTTAGGAGTCCCTGTCCCCCCCTCCACACACAGCCAACCTGAGGCACCAATAGAAGGTGAGACACTTGTCAGTGTAGTTTGTGTTTTGTTTGTTTGTTTGTTTGTTTTGGTTTGAGGGAACGAACTCAGGTCTTTGTGCTTGCAAGGCAGGCGGCAGCACCTCTGAGCTAAATCCCTGGTGAGTTTTCATTTTAGTAGTAATAATAGCAATTTATTTTGCATCTGTAAATCAAACTCTGCTGGACACTATTTGAAAGAATTGTCCTAAGAGATTATTTTCCCATTTTATATGGATGAGCACACCAAAGCCCACGTTAAATAATTTACCTAAGATTGCACAAGATATAGTGCAAAGGGACCTTAATTTGTTCCTGATTTTTCTTATTTTAAAGCCTAGGATTTGTTTCTTACATTACACTGTGTCCCTCTTAGGTTATTAGCAATTCTAAGTCTTATTCTATCATCTGGTTCAGACATTTCTTGACTCTGCCTCAGTGGATAGTAGCAACAGCATCACATGAAGATAAGCCTGACAGGAGAAAGAAATGGTAACCACTTAAAAACAAAACACTTCATCCGGGGATTTAGCTCAGTGGTTCTGCTGCCTGCCTCACAAGCGCAAGGTCCTGAGTTCGATCCCCAGTACCAAAACAAAAAATAAAATAACACTTCCCCCTCTCAAAATGATCTCTAAATGAAAGTGCTGCTAGGATTTGTGCTATAAAGTCTTAGATAATTATCAACTGGCTAGTCATCAAGATAGAGGTCTCCCTTGCTCTGAAGTCATAGGTGGAAAAGTGATTTACAGGTGAATCATGAAATTAGCTAAAGAAAAGAGGAGAGCTGGAGGGGGCTCCCCAAGTGTATCACAGCTGGTCTTAGGTTTTCCTCCAAATAGGACAACTGTACTGGTAGATCAAAAGGACTATTTCTGTAAACCTTTAAGTTGGTAATTACTTTATATTGTGACAGGGAAAATTTTTATATGCTTTATATTACTTCTGTAAAGTTCAGGAAAATATGGCTCCGTTAAGGTCACGTACTGTGTCAGTAGAGAAAAGTTTTGTTACCTGGCAGAGAAAGCTAGAATTTGAGTATGTTTCAAGATAAGAATAGAGAAAAAGAGAGATTCAGTTGTGCCTTGAAGTTGCTTCAAATGTGGTAGATAGATTAGAGTCTATGGTACGTAAATGATTGTTACTTCCAGATAATTAAATAACATTTTGTTCACTGGGTTGTCATCATAGTACTGCTAAATATCAAGGAATCTAGCTTTGTTTTTCTTACGGACTTTCCAGTATGATGTGAAATGCCATATACACCTTCAAATTATTTGGAGTTTTCTTCTGCAGCATAGAGGTTTCTGTTAGTGATGTTACCCTTCCTTTATAATAATTGTAGAAAGTAGGGGCCGGGGATGTAGCTCAACAGCACAATACCTGCCTGGCAAGCTCAGGGTCTCAAGTTTGATTCCCAGTACCAAAAAATAAAATAATTATAGAAAGCTTTTCGGTCAGATCTTCTTTTTCTTATTTATCCCCATTCCCAGCTTTAAGGCACAATTGCATTGTAGGTGTTGGTTTATTTTTTTTCCTCATGGAATCATGGGTAGTTTCATTGCAGCTCATCTCTTTCTGTTTGTTTTGTATAGGGCTGATAGTTCAGGACCATTCAGACCCCATGTTCAGTTCATATGCCTATAAGTCCCACTACCTACTGAATGAATCAAATCGTGCTGAGTTGATGAAATTACCTATGATTCCTTCTTCGTCAGCTTCCAAAAAGAAATGTGAGAAAGGTAATAATTGAAATAGTTTATCTCTTGCTTTTATTTTTGCATTTCCTATTTTTTTCTCTTTAAGGGAATGGGGGAAGTGGTGTAAAAGCACCATCTGTTGCTTTTGGTAAATTCTGCCTTGGTGGTTGTGACTGTGTCTTCATATGTTTGCAAAATTATAAAAAGGGCTTAAAATAATTCCATTATTACAAATTTTTACTTTTCTCCTTGAATAAATTTTGACACATTCCATATATTTAGATTATTAAAATAGAAAAACTAGGATTTTGAGGAATAATAAAAAAAAAATTTCAAGAACTTTTCTCTTTTGCCTGAAGTGAAACTATCATTCTTGTTAGAATAAAATAGATGTGGTATAGTTTATAACTATCAATTAAATAATATAGGTTATTAAAAGAAGGAAACCTATATATAGTACTTAAAAGTTTGATTCTAGAATACGTTCTATTATTTTGTTTCTTAAATGTTTTAAGATACTATAAAAGCTGGTTGCCCTTGCTAGGTGTGGTAGCTCATACCTTCAATCCCAGCACTCACAAGGCTGAGGCAGGTTGATCACTGCAAGTTTGAGACCAGCCTGGGCTACATACTGAGTTCCAGGGTAGTCTTAACTACATAGTGAGACCGTGTCTCGAAAACCAAAACAAACAACAACAACAACAAAAAAAACCTGGTTGTTGTTACCTTAGGAGACTTTGGTAGGAAAGTAGGGTGTGGGAATACCCCAAACACTGGATGTTGGAAGGCAACCCAGCTGAATTGCTGATAAATAATTTGTCTATAGAGAAGTAAGAGCTAAATGTATGTGAGCGTAAATATATGTATTTTTTTCTGAGTTAATTTCATCTATGGAAGAAAACTTTATCCGATTTAGCTCTCCATAGCTTATTTGTAATAAAGGGAAAAAGTGACTCAACAGTAATATGTTATTTGGGGAGTTATTCCAGAGAGAGCATTCAGTGAACATGGAAGGTAAGGACTTTTTCTGTATACATTCCCATTTCGATCTGGGGGCCAGGTTCAGAACCTGTAAGGAAAAATTCATTCATAATATACCATGTATCTATACTAGGTATATTTGAAATTTTTTCATTCTTTGTGTTGCCTGGTGTATTTTTGCTCTTCATCAGCTATCTGAAATGGCAACTCACGATTCAGAAAAAGTGCAAGCAAGTTGATTAGAACCCATTAGAAACACTGAAAAAAGTGTTGACTTTTTTGTTTGTTTCCCTTGAAATCAAATTGTATCATCTCATTGGTGATGCCACCTGCTTCCAAAATAAAAACGGACACAGGTCCACCTTACTCCATAGTGCAGTAAAACTAGTTTATCTGAGGCATTTTAGGAAATGCTTTATTTTCCGGCTGGCATCTTTACAAAATTAGATTAATTACATTGTTGATTTGTTTTCAGACAGTATTAACCATGACATGAATTAAAATTATTTTGAGACCCTCTACCTAGTTTACACTATATGTTCTCTTGCATCCTAAAACCGTTTTCTTGTGAATCATTCATATTTTTCTATACCCATTATTTGGTTTTGGTTTTGGTTTTGGTTTTTTGGTTTTTTTGAGACAGGGTCTCACTATGTAGTTGAGACTGACCTGGAATTCACTGTGTAGCCCAGGCTGGTCTCAAACTCACAATGATCCTCCTGCCTCAGCCTCCTGAGTGTTGGGATTACAGGCGTGCGCCACCACACCCATACATAATACCCTGTGTATTTTTAACATATTTATCACAATGATTTTCACAGATGATTTTGGCTCTGTATTTCTTCTGAAGCAATACTCAAAATTTAGAACCATTTAATAATATTAAAAATGACAGACCTGACTTTTCCACATCAGTACTTACAATCACATGTTCTCTAAAACTGTTTGCAAAGACTTTCTCCCTTTCGTCATTTCTTTCCAACGAAAAAATGAATAACCTCATTTTACTTCAAATTTACAAAAGAATTTCCTACCTAGGCTTAGAGCATTCAGGCAGCTAGTATCAGGGCTGGAGAATTGAACCTATTAAAATCCATATTGGTATCTGCAGTAAAGGAAAAATGTTGTGATTGAAGTAAAAGCTTTTAAGCAGAGGAAATATAGTAATTGAATTCATCTCTGGCTGTGTATGGATTTTTCTCCTTTTGTTTTCATGTTTGTTAGAAGTTTGAAAGTCTACAGAAAGATAAGATTTTCTGGAACATTGATAGGAAACCCCAGAGCATGTAATTTGATTGAGTTGTATAGAGGGCTCTTAGTCTGTGCTTATGAGACTTTAAATCTTAGTATACTTGTGAGTTTGTAGACCTGGTTTTCAAATAGAAAGATGAATTATTTTGCAATAAATGTCTTTATTATATTCATCTAGAGAGGTTAACCTTGTTAAAACATATTAGACATATCTAATCTTTCTAGCCCCCCCAAACCTGTTATTTCTTTACAGTTAAAACTATTATTTTGTTTACTGTACTTGTTTTGGCATTAATCACAAGATTATTTTGTATATTTAAAAGGACAGGGTTTAGATAAGGAACTTGGACAGATACCCTTGCATATATACTTCACCTCTACACTGGTAATTATTTACTTTTGTGCTCTAAAGCAGTGGTTCTTGATATTAAGTCAGAAAAGATAAATTTAAAATAGTTGAATTATTTTGGATGATCTAACAGAATCATATATTTGTGCAAAATGAGTTTATATTAGACTGATTTTAATGATATAGTAATTGTTTTGTTGTCAAGTTAGAATCTTTGATTGACAGGTACACTTTTTGTGGCTAATGAACAGGAGGGGGGTTGTTACAGTGTTTGACAACATGTGGGTTCATGAGAAATGGAACCAGGAGCGATGGTAAGGAAAAATTGCAAACCACTGCTTTATAGCCTGTGTGACTGTCTTTTCTTCACTGAAAGGTAATGATACTGTAATCACTAGTTTGAGAATCTGTTCCTTTTGCTTTTTCGTATGCTTTTGTAGGGAGAAAAACATACCAATCAACCTTTTGGCTGTTTTCATTCTTGCTAACTTTAAAGGGTTTTATTCTAGCACTGGATTAAAATACAGTGATAACTATTGCTTTCTTTCTTACCTCTAAATATGAAAAGAAAAATGCTATTTACTTCCTTGAAAAACATGCTTGCTAATCTACTCACTATAAAGATTTTGCGCATTCATCTTGTGATATGTTAACAGTTTTTAAACTGCTTGCTAAACTGATACAATAGCCCACATTTTACCACTCAAAATTTCTTAAGTTTATAGCCCCCAAAGCCCCCAAATATAGCTAAGTATTTCACTTGTTTTCTGTTTTAATCCATCACTATAGACACGATGTCGTTCCTTTATTGAGTTCTCCCAATTTGAGTTGAATGCAGTGCACTTAAAGTAGAACTTTCTCTTTCTTGTTCTGTGTCCTCTTTTCTTAGTCACTAAGACTGTTTGTTTGTTTCAAGGTGGAAGATTGCTCTGCTGTGAGTCGTGCCCTGCTTCCTTCCACCCGGAATGCCTGAACATAGATACGCCAGAAGGCTGCTGGAACTGTAATGACTGTAAAGCTGGCAAGAAACTGCATTACAAGCAGATTGTTTGGGTCAAACTGGGAAATTACAGGCAAGTTTTCCAAGGACAAAGAGGAAGTGTTCCATCATTGCTCAGACCAGGCCTAAAGTCAGAGCTGCAAGGTTCTGCGTCTATGCAAGAGAAAGGAATGGGTTTCAGTCTGGGTTTAGCAGTTGGGAAGGTTATGTCCTTGATGGATAGTCTCTTTTTCTTTGAGATTAATTGGTTAACTGTTGTTTTTAGGTTCTGAAAGGCATTTTATACTACTGATTTAGGTAGTACTAGATTTTTGAATAAAAGGGGGACAGTAGAAGTAATAGTTTCTTTGTGTCTTAATTAGATTTGTATTGGTTTCTGACTTCTGACAGAATCAAGAGTTTAGATTCCTGGTGAAAGTAGCTCTTTGTCCCTGAATCTGGCCCATTTTGTTCTAGATAGAAGCCCCAAATAAAGAAGAGACTTTTTATAATTTAGAGAAATTACTACAAAGTCTTTAGTTACTAAGAGAATGAAGTAGAAATGTGTATAATTGCCATTATTTTAATAAATGTTTTTCTTTATGGCTTTTACCAAGGCTCTGTGGAGCTAGATAGATAGATTTTAATTTTAATAAATTTTGTTTTATCCCAGTCCCCTCTGCCCTTACGCCCCCTTCCCTCTCTATGCACAAAAGCTTTGTTTTCATTTTTCTTTCTTGTCCCTTCCCCCCGGCCCTTTGTTCTCTTTCCCAATTGAACATTTTCTTCCCATTTCCCATTTCCCAGTATCTGTTATACATTTTAGTCCTCATTTACGTTTTTGGTTTCTCACACCAGAGAAACAGTGTGGTATTTATACATGGGTGTCCGATTTATTTCACTTAAGAATATGGTCTCAAAGTCCATCCTTTTAGCTATAAATATCGGAAGCTCATCATTCTTTATGGCAGAGTAGTACTCCATTGTATTGAAAAAATATGACTTTTGTATCCTCTTGAGGCCATTTGGGCCTGAACAATTGGCTTTTTTCCTTTCTTTTTCTTTTTCTTTTTCTTTTTCTTTTTCTTTTTCTTTTTCTTTTTCTTTTTCTTTTTCTTTTTCTTTTTCTTTTTCTTTTTCTTTTTCTTTTTCTTTTTCTTTTTCTTTTTCTTTTTCTTTTTCTTT